AGGCGGACTATCCTGAAATGCGGAGGCTCTTGTTCGACTCAGAATTGCCCTTAGCATGGGATGAGTTATCTGAGGATGGACACTGACAAGTTCTAAGAGAGATTATTCACACAGCGATCTCGGATACCGTCGCTTTAGTCACAAAACAGCCAAAAAAGTTAACGTGGCTGAAGAAAGGTAAGCGAGGTATTCTGCAAGCAAAGCCGAAGGCTTGGTTTAGTGGCGAGTATCCAAGGCTAAGAACGACTGTAGCGCATACCTGGAACTAGAAAACCGGTGCTGCGTGAGAGTTTGGAGTGACAGGGGTAACTTCGGCCTAACTTTGCCAGAAGATTCCTAGCGAACCCCAAAGGCTTGTAACAATTCATGTAGGAAAGAAAATCAACCGACCAGGGGGCATGCGCCTTAGTAGGTCTAAACGGGCAGTAGCTCACTAGACTGGAGGTGGCTGAAAAATTCAGCTTAGCCTTTCGCCAAACAGTTAAACAGCAATATGGGTATTACTGGTACGGACCAAAATGGCGGCACTACTATTTAGCCGCAGGAAAACCTAGAAGATACCCCCCATATAAACCTGGCAATAGTACTACAGAAGCTAAAGAAACTCACACCCGGAGAGCCCCGTGTCAATGTAGTTGAAGACTGAACGATCAATTCATGGTTGTCTGCTCAAACCCAACTCCTCCATATTTTTCGCGGGAGTCATCAATACGGCTGTCATCGTCTCATCGTTCGCTGTTCGCTGGAAGAGAGAAAACTATCAGAAAATTTGTGTACAATAACTCAACGTTTGGCTCTGTATTGGCGCAAGAATAAACGGTTCTTGAGCCGCCAATTTGCGTTCTGATTTTTCATGTTAGTTATTATGCATAGTTTCTGAAAGTCTTCGAGGGACAGCGTGAGGTCCATTGTAGTAAGACCTGGACATTGACACTCCGTGTTGAGACGACATCAGGCAATCTATTCTGAAAGAGTGAGCCGAAGCTCTCTGTAGGCCCTCAAGCGACATGTTTCAACACTCGATAGATCCGGAAAAACCACCAAGAAGTGGAATAGAGCCATCCTTTCTTCGACCTTCAAGGATAGGGATAGGCAAATAGCCACTACTTATAGACCAGTAACTCTACTCCCAGTGGTATCAAAAGTACTGGAAAGTATTATTGGTGATCACACCAGAGAGCGCCTTGATGGGACTAACAGACTCTATGAAGCCCAACACGGTTTCAGGAAAGGCAGATCCTGTGTAATAAACCTACTATCAACTTGGGACGTTTGGACACCATACTAGGATATGAATGTTCCAGTCCATGTGGACAAAATGGACACAAGCGTAAATTACACGGGGGACGTGGCGAGGGTATATGCGATCATACACTTTACCTATAGACAGTTAGATTAACTCACTCTTGAGCTATTTCTAAGGTTGTGCAAAACATACGCCAGACCACACCTTGAAATACATAATATCACTGCACCCGCACTTCTTAGAAGAGACGCAAACTTCTTGGGAAGAGTTCAAATACGGGTGATAAAAGGAACGGTTAGTCTCCAAAATAAACTACATGATGAAAGGCTAGAGAAATTAGGCTTATAAACACCTAGCTAACGTCGGTTTTGGGGGCACTTGATTACGGCAGCCTGTAGACGGCCGTAGGTCATTTGATCAGCTGGTGGATACTGGCTTTATTTATTGAAAAAACCTCAAAGTTAGGTCATTTTTCGTTTTTCCACACACACTTTTTTTACTTATATTCCTGCTAAAAGTTGATGAAATACGGCGTATTTAGCAAAAACAGGCAATGGTGGTGTCCTTAACCGTCCGTAGCCTACACCCAGTTTACAGTTTGTTGAAAATACATACTTTTCCGTTTAGAAAATGTCGAATTATATGAAGACATGTTCTAACGACTTTTTGTGATTCTTTTTCGCAGTTTAATGGATTACACATGGGCATGATGAGGTGGGATAGCTCGTTTTGGTAATTATTTCATTTACTTTGTTATGTACTTTTCCTAATGCTGACAAGGCTCCCCCACATATATTTCTTTGAGGAAAAATCTGCAGGAATACTTAGAAATTATATACGCATATTATTTCGTTATTTTATGGCATAAACTTGATGTTTGTAGGCAGATGCAATATCGATTTTGTATTATTGAAAAATGTTGACTAGCATAATTATATACAATTCGACTAATTATTTCGTCATTTTAAACATATTTAATGGTTAATTATTGCGTCAACACTGATTACAATGTCTACATATGTATAATTCTTATGTTCTTTTTCAGATAATATCTACTTTCGGGAATTTCATGGATTTGGGTGATAAAGAAAAAGATGCCTGCACTGTTGTCGATTTTGTATTACATGTTAATTCATTAATAAATGTATTCCTCGTTATTCGTTTGTTTATTCTACTTGATATGGCCGAATATTGGCCCTTGCGTAATTTGTGAGGTATAGTATATGAGGCTATCTTTGGAATACTAGATAGGAGCAGATATTCAGAGAAGCCTATTAGTAAAAGATTATGTTGTAGTCAAATAAAGCAAATTTCTTAATCGTAGAGGAGGTATTGCAATTATAAAGCGTTTCGAGTTATCTATCGTCTTAGCAGAACACAAACTGATTCGCGATTCATAGTCACAAAGTGAAAATAAATCTACCGGAGATAGTGTGCTTGTGATTTCTGCATGTCGCAACGTACCATAAGGAGAGACTATACCTATGCCGTTGGATGTATAACTCAGTGCAACTACGGTCATCGTAATAATTAAAAACAATGCCTAGGATTCTCAGCCAAAGAACACGATACCTTGCTATCTGCTCATATAATCACGTAAACAAAAGTTTTCCAGACGCCGCATTTACTCCTAACAGTTTACCCTCAACTCCTAACTTAGCACGTGCTACTTATGTTACTGGAACACAATCGCATTACAACAGAAGGAAGACAGATTCATTGAAAAATTGTTTATTAAACAAAAATCAGATTTCAAATGTACAGATAATTCAGATGAGTAGTCCTCTGTTACCATCAGTAAGCTCCATCTGCGTACACGGCACATATATGTTTTTCCATAAGTCTGAAAAGGTTTAGGAAAAGCATTATTAACCTGGGTATTACATGTATGGTCTGAATAAAAGAACTTTCTTGATAAGCATTTACAAGTAATTACTTTAAAGCAATGTATATAAATAGCTAAATAGTTTTCACTAAACTTAAGTGACTTCGCAATTTATCGTTGGTCAATATCAAGTAGGTCCGTCAAAGCATCATAAAACGATAAAATCACTTAACGACAAGTTATGCAGAAGTTTCCAAAGCTTTTACAAATAGTTCAGCAGAAATGACAACTACTTTATGACAAATAATAGGTCTTGACAGCAATAATGATAACATTCATGTTCATAGTGACTATAAAAACAATTATGGGTTTTATTATCGCAACGAATTCATCATTAACTTAGACAACTAATAATAATACAATCATATCAAATAAATTTATCACTTAGTCTTAAGAAGCAGGTGTTTACTTACTTTCACTGTATTCTCTCAATACTGTTGCGCTCAACTAGCTTATTCCAGGTGAATTCAAGATTAATTCTGAAAGTGAGTGGAGATCCAGCTTATGTCAAATAAAAACACGTAGCTTACATGTATTACACTGCTTACTGAGACATCTGATACCTGCTTTGCTATCTGCATGACAAGAACACAGATTATCTAGGTTCACCTACATACACATAAGTATACGTATATGCTGCACCAACCATGCCGTTTTTATCATGATTAACCAGACCACTGTGTATATTATACTCATCTAAGGATCTCTGAAAATAATGGTTAAGCGATAATTGAAGTTGCAAGAAGTTATTACCTCTTCAGGACATTGTTTGCATTCTTGACACTCCTGAGAAATCCTTAGATCTTAATTTGGCATGAATTCGTTGAATTTAGCAAATAAATCCATTGGTATATCCTTTCTCTCCTGGCCTGTAATAGTTTGTGTTGTCAGATATCTATCTAAATTGATAAAACGCTCCTGGAAATTCAGAACTTAACCAAGCAGCAAAATCATGTTTGAAGTTACCTCAACTCAAATGACAAACTGGCCAATCACAAGCGAGCAAATCGCTTGTTTATCTCATTCGCGGTCACTCAAAATTACGGCCGTCGACAGGCTGCCCTTGAATACTGCCTGAATTATAAAAATAACCAGGATCACCCAAACAAAGGTGTTCTGCCATTAGGTACTTGTGGGCTTCCTCGTGGAAATCCCAGGAGCACAGCTCACCAGAGGGCACGGATTCGAGTGCGCTCCCATCTATTTTCACTGTGGGCCTGCCGTCTCTGGAACCCTTAACTGGTTGATGTGGAAACGGCGCCGTCTGTGTGCAGCTTTAAACAAATGCTGGAAGATCACACAGCGACGCAAGGACTGCGTCTAAGTGGCCTATCCCCCTAAAATCTCATACACCATTCATGGGTAGACAACTAAATCCGTCGTTCTATTTCTTTACTTTCTCTCTTGTCTTACTCGCCCTGCCTTACTATTCAGACTACTACACTTACACTTATTACTACTATTATTGATATTATATACACATATTTCAACTTCAGATTTAATTTTCCGTCTGTTTTTGCGTTTTCCTTATTTCTTTTTCTGTTTTTTAGTCTGAATAACCTATACTGATTATATCTATTATTACCTCTTTTCTTTTGACAACGATACCGGAGAACTAAAAGATGAAAGGACCAACTCCATTTACAGTAGTAGCAAAGTCTTAACACACTACATACTACACACTACATATAATTAATCACAGCACTACTCCTTTTGGAGTCAACCAAAGCTACGATAGTCGAGTGGCAAGATGAACCACGCATAAGTTTATCGAAGACCAGGAACCTTTAACTTATAATCAAGAAGTGAGCACAAAGAAACCAAATTGGTTCATACTGCCTCGAAAAACAATATTGGGTATTGAATCCTCGAAAACTGCGGAACTTCTAGTTTGAGAGGATTACTTATTTCTCTGCGCTACACGTGGCGGTATGATTAGCGGTTTTCCGCTTTAAAGATCAGTGATTCGTAAGTAGACCACCTATTGTTCAAAACGTTTTTGAAAGATTGTGGCCTAAGATATTGTAAAGCTCTGTTCGTATGCGGACAATAAATGTCCATCTATAGATAGGTATATATCAATAGATATCAAGATACAACTGTATTCATATGCATAAATTTTCTGAAGACGGATTTTGTATAAATGCCTTACTAACCGGCTTGTAACTATAATTTTGTGTGCTTCGTATTTATAATGTTATAAATAAAGGGAATATTCTCCGCACTTAATGAAATTATAGTTTCATTTTACCCTTATATCTTACTTTTCCTTTTTCACCTATCGCCTCCGAGTTATAGTAGGAATGGCTACAAAAAGGTTATATATGTAAGACATTTGAATACCTTAAATGAATGTCTGCATTGGCAGCTTTGTCATGTAGGCATGCTTCTGGTCAGCAGTGAGTACTGCTCCGATTGTTTAGAGTACCATGCTGGTCTGTGTTAGCCTATAGGCTAGTTACATAAAAAATAACCATGTTTTCATCATTTTCGAGTAAAAAATACTTCGATTTTCATCGTTATATATGGATGGTATGGTCAAAAGTTTGGATGACAACTTAGAGGACATATATATTGACACCAAATACTTAGTATCTTGCATATACTGTATTAAAATTACAAGGAAATATAGACGTGATATTAAGATCACGGATATCTTCAGCCGTAACGATTATTTTTACGGACAGTTGGGGACATATATCATTTAAAATGTGTTTATAGCTCATGGATACGGTTGTGATATGTTGAAAGCAAATTATCCACATGAACTCTATTGTGCGAGAGATCAAATTTATTTTCGATTTAGAAGATGAATAATAAGAGCTAGTTATGTAAGATTGTGAAGCAAGACGAAAGTGATAAAGTCTCCGTATCAGATTATTGAAAATCACCTCATTGTATAGTTACGTGGAGAGGTTGGTAGCGGAATTCTTGTTCATTGAATCCACACCCAAAAACACGGAATATAAATAGTGGGATAGCAATGTTAGAGAAATGGAAAATATGTCTATCACTTAAATCGAAGCAGTAAAAATAATATAACCATATATTTAATATTTGAGAGTTATGTGAGTACCTTGATATGACAGAACAATAAATTGTGCTCTAAGTGATCACTATGAAATTCATAAATTTCACTAGGACTCTTCTCATTCTACTCCACTTAGGTGAATTGGAACATTTTATATGTTGAAGAAATAAATGCAACGTGTATATTCTGTTGCATTCTCTCTAGAAACTGCTGTGTTTTATAAATACGCGCCTCATAACTGTTCCTGTTATTATTATTACTATTGTCCTTGTTCAGCTCACTCAGATTCTTCAGCTGTGCACACTTACTCCTTCTTAATTGATGTCTATCTGTTGCATTCAAAACAATTTAATTAGTTTTAATCCGTCCAGTTTACACTGTAGTTTTCGTCACTTATCATTCTTGTTCTAATTACTGTAGTTGCTCAACTGATTCTTCAGCAATACATTTTTGTAAAACTCCCTAACCGATTGCCAAATGTTTTATTCAGATGATGTAAATCATTCTTAATTTTCTAAATTGTCGTTACTGGGTTATTGTCATCTCTACAGTCTATTGACAAATTTATTCGGTTCGCTAGAGGTACTCGCGTCGTGACGTCTGTTTTCACATCTGAGTTTGTATTGTATTTATTCTCTTATTGCATAATGGCATATAGACTCATATGCTTGAAATAAGAACTGACCAGTTCCATCGAAGGTTGTGTGGAATGAATCTTTCTCTAATGAATTATCATTATTTTTTGGAGTGTATATATGTGTATGCATGTTATTTTTTCGCTATAGTAATATATGACGTACTTTCACATAGAATTACACTGTTATTTACCTTCTTACATTGTCTTTTTGTTATTACTCGTGCTTTTAACTTAGTGGTGAAAAATGTTTCGATAAAAATTATTTGAGCAATGTTTCATAGACTTAGGCTCTTGACTAGCAACTATTGTATCATAGGTTTGAGCCTTGCTCCACCTACAGGGGTGTATGAAACTAGATGATGTCATCATCTACCAAACAATTCGTACCTTTTCTCTTAGCATATGCAAGACTAAGTATTTGTTGAACTGCATCGCGGTCCACTATCCATATTACTATCCATCTGTAGCTCAGATTTTCACAGTATTTTGTAAATAGAATGATTTACTTACAACATTTTCACTTTCGTTTACCATTTTTACTGTCCTAATTTTACAATTTCCCATAAATTTGAAATGTTTTTTTTATACTCTAGATGTATCTGATTGGTTGACATTTTGGATTAGTTTGAAAATGAACATTTCTCGAGATTTATTTATTATTTTTCTTTACCTCTTCCTCGATGTTGTAACTGTAAGTTTAATTTTTCCATGGCTGCCTTCTCTTCTAGAGGCGTTTGAGCTGGAACAGGTAAGATAACTTGACTTCACCTACATATATAAGGAATGGTTTTATATTTTGTGTAGGCGGTACATCCAACAACTTGGTTTGATATTAGGGGTTCAAGAAAACTCCCTATGGGATACAGTTTTCCTTGGAGGTATGTTAAACAATGCAATTCAACCATTTTTTTCACGTAGGTATTCTATCGTCATCTTCGTCATTGGCACAATTTATTTCATCACCCTTTGCAGGCGCTTTGTCAGACCTATGTGGAAGAAAGTCGGTTTTAGTGGTGCTTCAGGTTTGTTGATAGTTGTTAATATAATAATACAATTATAAAGCAAACACTAATAAGTATTAAAAGTTTCAACAGTAGTTACTTGCTTTTCGCTAGTCCCTACCAATTTGTATTCTTTTCGACTCAGACGGACAGATATTGTCAACACAGAACATATCACTACTGTGTGACGACTAAAGTTGATCACCTGTTGATTACAAGTGAGTCTGTTTGAAGTTCGGAATAAATCCGCAGGTTGATGTTCGATATCCATATATCAAGATTTGTATGGCATAACATTTTTATCCTTACAATTTTCAAATGGTTACTGAGATACTTTCCTACACCTTATCAGCTAGATAGTGTTGAACATAACATTCCGTTACACTGGTTTATGAATACAACTCGAGTAAGAAATATGAGTGGTTATTATTACTACTGCTACTGCTACTACAATTCAGTAATTTCTCATGGTGAAGGTATTTGATAAATTCACGTTATATAAATATATATCTGATACGTTTCATAAGACTTTCAATTTAATGATTTTTGTTGACGAATAGACCGAATTTTTAGATTGTACTCAATAAGCATACATTTTTTTGAGTGATGGTATTTTGACCATTCGTTTCTAAACACGGTAACTACTCGGATTAAATATGTGATGAAAAGCTGTACTGTAGTCCTGCGTTGGGGGTTCAGTGGTAGAATGGTCGTCTGTCACGCTCGTGGTCTTGACTTGATTCTCAACTGACGCACTCTGAAACCTCACCTAGTTTACTGGCCGATAATAAGTTGGGGGAAAAGAGAAGGCTAGCAAACCCGCCCCGTAAAAGCAACTTCATTGCCTTATCTTTCACTCGGAACGTAAAGGAATGAAAAAAGCGGAAGAAAGAAAAATCAGATTCAGCTAGTTATGTTGGTCAATACTATGAGATACGCCATGACAGTGTGTGTTGGCTTTACTGGTTTATTCACCAGAGTAGTGCACTTGTTATTCGGAGATACAAATCTTATTCGTCCTAAATTGACTGCAAAATCTCCCCCACCCAGGATTTCTGAAAAAGAAATTACTTGCAGGTTTCTCAATATCTGCAGGGATACTCAAAAGTTCGCCACCTCCGTGGAAGTACAACTACAGGAACACACTATGAATTAACTTAGGTACAATTGATGGTGCTCATATTGTTTTTTTTCTGGTTTTCAATGGCTATGAAATCTAGAACTCAAATCTCATCCCATTTAGGACGAATATGCGTCAAACGCACGTCTTGGTTACTACTAAAAATAATGTTAAGAAAGCTCAATGCAATTTCAAAGCATCTCGATAGAGCTTGATCAGTTAGATTAGTGAAATCAGTGGAAAGTTATAAGAATTAAGAAATATCCACTATATGTTTGTTCTAAAGAAACCATATTAATTTCGAAAAATTGAAAAGTTTTAGATTTATAAATGTTATTTAACGAGAAAACTACTTGCGAAAATAGGTGTTGAATCCGTAAATACGAATGAAATATCTCGGATAGGCTATATACAAAGTCGCTTCCGGAAAAGTGAGGTTAATTGTAATAGTTTTACAAGTGAGTTAGTTCACTGACACGACCACCTCTAGTTAAGCTTATATCCCGATGTATTCCTTAGACATCTTTGGAATAGATCTTGTCATAGAATATTGTGCAAAATCACGAACAATCACATATTTGTAAATATTAATACGTACCAAGCAAAATCTGTCCAATTACTTATATATTTCGATGGTAGATAGCATTGGAATCTACGATGTATGTTTGGTCATTCTTATTTATTTATTTAAACGTATAAAAACTTGGTACAATATGGGCACCAAGAAGGATGCGCCACACAATAATAATAAAACAACATAGATCAAAAGAAAAAAAGAAGAGAAAAATATATATATATAAGTAGAGAACGGATAAGGAACTTCACCTGGAAGGAAAACAGTCATGCTTAACGAGTTCAAACAGTACTCGTTAACTATCATCGCGAAGGGAAGAAAGAAGGAAATTGCAACACGTGTAATAGCCCGCGATAAGTTTCATTCATTGTTTGTTGCTTTGTTGAATTCATTGTGTGAGGGCTGAGATACTGCCCGGGCGCCCAGACCGAAGCAGGTGGTTTTATTAAGGGACCACCCCCGAACCTTTGACTTGGAGTCTAATCCGCAAGGCAGCGGAGCAGCGTCAGGAGCTGCATTCCCATGGTTGCCAGTGATCCATATGGGTTCATACGCCATTTGATCCGATTGGATACTGGAGCCCATGTACCCCAAGGTAACTGCTTTTAGTTTAACCGCTATCCAAATAACCTTCCTGACATGGTAGGACCTGCAGGGATAGGTCCCAGTCAGTTTAGCATGTTGGGTCATTACGGTATTCAAGCCCGACCACCACGACAAGGTAGCAATTATTAGCCGGGTTGGTCATTCTTAAGACTTATCGGTTGGGTATTCTTTTATCCTTGTGAGTTATGGGCTTTCCAATTAAGACACTCATCGAGACACAAATTAATTCAAGTTGACCTAAGAGACTAACTTATTCACTATCCAATTGTTCAAGATCTCTTAGCAACTGCTTTCGAAACTTGTGTACATGGTATATATATTTGTAATGTTCAGTAGAATTGCAACTGAAACATTATTCCATGTTCGCTGATATATTATTCAAAATTATGGGTTCTTTTATGAAGCATCAAGTTGTAGTTATTAGCAATTGTCCGTTTTATTTAAGTTTTTCGAAAATTATAATTCCATACATGTGGAAGACATTTTCTCTTCATGCTCTCTACTTAATTTATTACAAATCTTTCTGAATACTCATCCCTACTTAGGATTTTCTATATCCTCCACTTAATATTTTTTCATACCATCAACTCAGTTTTTTCTTATTAAATTAATTGCCCTCCTGGATACACACACTATAGGAATATTGAAACTTAATTTGGAGTGAAATTATTAAGCAACAATATGTAAAGAAGAATCCATTCATGTTCGTACATGCAAATGTGGTCGCGTGACATAAACAGAATGCAATAACAATTCTGTGTGATTAGTACATTCGGTCGTGGTTATAGAATGATTATTAAATAGGTAAATAAAGGGAATATTCATTATTTACGTAGAGTGTTGAAGGTGAGGTTGGGTGGTGTTTAAACAATAAAACAGTAAAGTTAATTATCTTATGTAAATGATATCCCAGTTAGTCAACAATCAGTTGTTTTAGACACTTCACTCCATACTTATGGATTATCCTTTCAAATGTCAAAGTGTCTATACAACTAAATGTCACTGTAAACCCTCATGTAGCAGGTATTACCACTGACTACTTTGTCCACTTGTATCTAATTATTGACTTACATTTTAAATTCTTGCATGTTTTACTCTTTTCCTCCTTTTTTATTACTTACTGGCAATTACTTCACAACCAAAAAGATAATGCAATTAAGTTAATGGTGACATAGTATATAGTGATGAATAGGTTTGCAGATTAATTTTTTTGATACTGAACCATTATATGTATATTTTTTCATAAGTTACCGTATCATTTTTGGTAATATTTAAGATTTTTATACTTTATTTCCCTTCCACAGGTTTTTCTTCTCCTCGTTAATATTCTTTGGTTATGCTTTGGTAAATCATTTTTATGGTTACTGATATCTCGTATACTATGTGGTGCTGCACGAGCAAATGTTGGTGTTATTTCAGCGCTTGTTAGTGACATCAGCAGCAATACACTACGTACCAAAGGAATGGCCGTTGTTGGATTGGCTTATGGTATTGGTTTTACTGTAGGACCTCCATGTTCAGTTATTCTGCTTAGTCGATGGAACACATCTACAACACCAGAACACTTGAGCTTTGTACTTGGTTGCACTTGTGTATTCATTAACTGCATAAATCTACTCATTTTACTCCTTATTCTTCCAACTCCACTGCAAAAGGTATGAATTATAATTCTCTTTTATAAGTAAAACATATTTCTGGTTTGTCATACCTTGTAATACTGGAAGTCTCAAATAGTTATTTTCAGCATTCGACCTTTTATGAATAGAATAGAGTTTCATAGTGAACATTTCACTTTTGAATTGAAAAGTATTTTTGATGAGCTTCGCACAAAATGAAGAAACAATTGATGCGTATGTCACGTGGGATTCCTTGGATTTAGTGGTAATAGTTGGTCACAATTTGTGTGCTTAGCATACAGTTGCAACGAGTTATACAGCAAACCACTTTTTAACTGGGATTGAAATTCAACCAACTCACAGGCAGTCACTTCCGATTTATTATTTTTCTTGAATGTTTTGTATTTCTTTTACAGCGCGGCGATTTCAATCAGTCAATAACTCAAGCGCTTCGCCTTGTTAATCCAGTGAAGTTATTCTCTTTTTCCGGTACAACAAGAAATCCCAGAGGTAAGTTAAAGGTTCACGGTTTCATGCGATTATCTTTTGTACAGTCTAAATTTTTTTTGCTTGTCTTATCCAGTTGAGTTATCTCTGAAAATTCAAGTTTACATACAGCCTTATAAGTAGTAGGCAGATAATATTAAAATGGAATGTAACATTACTGCATAGTGGTCGTAGTTAGCACACCCTATATCCCCAAACCTTAGTTCAAATCGAATGAAAGGGCTGACTGCAGTTTTGTTGTATCCCAAAGATATCTGGGACCACATCTAGTGTATAATAATGCGCGGAGATACTAGTTAGTCACACCAAACTTGAAGATTGCTGGTTATCACAATTCATAAAAAACAGGTCGTGTTACTATGATAACTACATTGCTATTAGATTGACTTACAGTAAAGTACAGGATCTTAAGGTTCATGATCATGTAGAAACCAACAAATTTGGAAGAGGGATTATCATTTCTGAACCACACTGCTTTGTTCATTTCGGTAAAGCATGCAGAACAGTATGGCAATTCATGTTCACACTAGGCATTAAATGGACGGAAGATTTTATTTTAAACGAATTACTTTGAAGAGCTGTACAGTCATATTCATATCCAGTGGAGAACTCACAAAATTATTCAAATACCAATTCTTGTGTTCGCAAAAATGTTTCACTTGAAGTGAGGGATAATTTCTGGTGGTTATGTAACATGCATAAAAATGACTAAATCAACCTGAGCAGTCAGGTCAATGGGAAAGATGGTAGTATTTAAATGAAATATGCATGAGAATTACAGTTATTTATACAATAATAATGTTGATAAATAAAGAAGACTATACAGCAAACAGCAAAATAAAACAGGAGTCCGGTGAAAATATTGCTATTGCCATGGTAGGACGGATGAGTGCATGTATTGTTTTTATACACAGAGGTCGGGTTAATGATCCGAACAGCAAGTGATGTGGTTTCGTCCGAATAGCACGTTTAAAGTCATGTTGTAAGATATTGGGAAAATCTATGAGTCAGTGTGAACCAGTTGTACACAGTTGACAAGGTACTCGAGCGTAATACTACTGATATTTTTCTGTTTACTTATGAGTAACTAAGCTGGACAGTTTTCCAGAATATGCTCATGGAGTTGTGGCTGTGTACAGCCGAAGTACTTTTCTTCACAGGAACAAGTGGATAAATGAACACTTTGGTGAACAGAAGAGGTATTCTGTCTTTTACAGATAATTGAAAACATGGTTTTCAAGAGCCATGGTTTCGGTGTTAACCCTTAACTCCAGCCTCATGAAGTTAGATTTCTTGGCAACATTTAGGATTTTCAGTAGTGACAGTTCTTCCCATCATCTTGCGGTTAGTAAATCTAGATGGATATCCATTTTCTAGTAAGGTTTCAACTTGTTTCTTCTTCCAAAAGTAATATAAAGTATTGGATGTTATTTCCAGTGTATTCGATGCGTATATTTCCCCACTGTATTGTACTTCGGCCATTTTATCTTCCTTTTCCTTATTTTGTAGTTTGATTTAGTTCCCGTACTGTTTCAGATTTGTGTCTACTTGTTTAATTGATGCATTTCATCAGAATTAGATGATTTTTTGTTGCAATACCGTTAGGAATAATAGAGTAAGGTGGGAGTAATCAACAGTTAATGGACGAAAACGACATACTTTGTTGTATCTCGTAGGCATTTGTTTGACTGTACTTCGTCAAAAATTATGACTTAGGAATCTTGACGTTAAGTTCACTTCAATCGAGCCACTAATTCTACTCAGCAACTGTGCTCAAGTTTATGCGCCAGATAGTGAGTCACATCTATTGTATTAAGGTTAGTAACGCTACCCAGATATCTAAAGCACACTGACTAGAGTGGTTTTCATAACCATAATCCATCTGTTGTAATTTGACTGTATATCAATGGTTACGCTCAGATTTAAATGTTAGTATACGGTTCTATTTCGGTAAGCATTGTGAACAGCACTTTTCACCTTTCAAATACTACTTGTGTATATGTGTATGATGAGTAAAACATACTTTCTTCAATCTATACCTTCAGATGACAAGTCATTACATCGCTTAGCATGTTTCTGGTTCGCTTATTTGTGCGTATTCTGTGGTATAGAATATACGCTAATATTCTTAGCTCGAGTGCGGTTTAATTTCACAAGGTTAGTAAATATTTCTTATTATATTTTTTTAAGATAAGCATTGTTACTTGTATACAAAAAGAAACAATGAAGATATAAAATTACATTCTATGATATTGTCATAATCGTCATCTAAGTAGGTTAGTAGAATTTTATCGACAGCGCAAAAACAACAAACAATAAAACGACAGTTCATATTGATTTTCTGTCTGCCAGATACCATTCAGTGTCAGTAATTTAATTTCTAAAACTTAATTCCAGTATTAAAATATAAATTAACCCTATACTATTAAGAAGTGCTTTAACTTTGCCGGATTCCGTTTTCAGTTCATTTCTGTTTATTATACCTCTTAACTGCTTGTGTATAAAAATAAAGGTGATTTTTCAGTTGAAGCGTCATTTTAGAATCAGTTGATAAGTCCTGTTATGAAATAGGTTGTAATCGAAGGAAAACTGAATTGGAAATAAGAAAGGGTCTCAGTAAAAATAATCTATAATTATCAAACGTTTAAGCTCATTAAGCGGATAGCTCCCATCAAAATTATGATTCATAAAATTTTATCCAAAAGGGACGGAAATTCGGAAGGCAAACGTTTGTGACATCTTACAAAACATTTTTAGGAGCGCTTTCTTGCCACACAACCCATATTAGCCAGTCGAAGGCGTTCGTGCACATTATTGATTGGTAAGGTGAATAAGCTTCCAGTCAATCCATATCAGTTCCATACATTTATTCCCCTTAACGAATTTGAACAAAGCAAGAACTACAGTTTTAGCAGAATAAAGTAGTAACATCTTTCATTTCGTTGCCTTCTCTGCAGCTGCTTACAGGCCAAAGACATTATTAAATATACCTACAAAAACCATTTTAACATGCTTGCACGGATTTCATTTTAAACAAATTCAATCGATCAATATACGCATACACTAATTATATATATATATGCAAAATTAAACACTATTCCGAACAATAATAATCATACACAATGGAAACTTTCCAGTATTTCGCATTCGGATGAAAAGAGATGAAAAATATCCAGTTACCAGGGAAAAGAAAGACTGATAACTGCTTCTTTCTGGGCGCATAAATCAGGTTTTAGGCGCTTGATGGAAATCGGTTCAGCAAACTTAAGGAGAATTGGGCTCTTTTGCTTATTGATAATTTTGAACGACTTTTCGACGTCCACCTCATGATCCGTGTCGAGGAGATACCTGGTGATTGCACTGTTTAAAGCATTTGTTCCCTTTAGACGTAAGCTTTTTGGTACGTGTTCAGAAAATCGTAGATATGTCCTTCTGTCTGTCCTTCCAATATAACTGCTCCCGCAGATACATGTAGATTTGTATACACAGTTGGAGTTTACATGAGAAGGATGTCTATCGATTTTTGATTGCATTAAAGAGCAAGTCGTTCGATGGACGGGAACGAGCTTAGCTGCAGGATAGGCTATGGCTACTGATGTACTCAGCCTTCTGTTGATCATCGCTGCAATGTTTTCACCTTTATAATCAAGCTGAAAGTAGATTGCCTTTTTTTCCCACTGTGATTTTTTTTTGTGACTACAGCTTGATTCCATACTGTATTTTTTGTACAAGTATGGAATTTTCAGCATGGATATCGGTAGCCCAAATTTCGCAGGCCGACCATAGATATCAGGTGTTCGTCGGTAGGGGACCGAACCCCGGACCATGTGCATGGTTGGCGAGAGTCCTAACCACTGTGCCACCGACGCACATTTGTGACTTCAGATCTTCCATACTTGTTGATGAACCTTTGAGTTTACCCATCGCTCTTCAATATCTTTTCAAGAAACTCAAATTCTTCCTCTAATTTCTCTATAGAGCATATTCTCCTCGCTCCATAGTACAGAGTGTTGACTAGACCACGTTTAAAGCTATTTGGACAAAAGCTATTAAAATGTAAGTATTGTCCATTCCATGTAGGCTTTCGATAAATTGACTTTTGAAGACTACCGTCTTCTAGGCGTTCCTTGGCGATTTCGAGGAAGTGAAACTTTCCGTCACTTTCATGTTCCATAGTTAAATCAATATTGGTGTGTGCATCATTGAATAATCTTAATAAGTGTTAAGCATGGCTTTCATTGTTGAACACTATAAATATGTCATCAACATATTGACAGTAGGAAGTTGTTTCGTTGATTGCATGCTTCAACTTTGTTCTTTCAAGGTTGGACATGAATAAACCTGCTAAAACAGGGCTAAGTGGACTGCCCATAGCTACACCATATATTTGGCGGTAAAGATTGTTGTCAAATTGGAATTGCACATCCATGGTACACATAAGCAGTGGGCGTTTGAATTCCGACTCTGGGAGTGGGAGAAGATCAGACTACTGACAAATTATCTCAATAGTTTCTCTGATTGGAATCATTGTGAACAAGGAGGTTACATCAAATGATACCACTTTATTCTGCTAAAACTGTAGTTCTTGCTTTGTTCAAATCCATATCAGTTTTATGCTGAACAACTGTTTGAATTTTCAACTTCTTTTGGGTTAACTTTTAAATATAATCTTCCTTTAACTTGGACAATTTTTCGCTAAAGATAGTCAGCTGTGTTTATACCAAGTTGATTTTTGAATTATTTGAAAAAAGAAAACATCTCGTGCCTTTTAGTGTTATATTTATTATTACTTTGAATTTTTACTCTGGTAAGATTGTAACCTTGTGTTGTGGAAGGAAGTTTTACCTATAACTTCGTTGTTGTTTTTCTTACCCTGACCTTTTATTATTTTTATTTTTCCAGTGCAGATCAAAGCAAAATGTTTGGTTTTGTTGGCATACTGATGATGGTAGTTCAAGGTAAGTTTTAAAAGAATGTTCGTAATAAGAAGAGTTATCTGATTATGTTGTATGTTATGCCATACATTTTTTTGCGCTTACATTTGACTTTTATTGTTGTTGAGAGTATCATCATTTTGTAAGTGATTAAGCGGAACATCAATAGATTTTACATTGATTTCTATGAACTTTTTTGTGACTCATTTAACATATGGTATCGGGAGTGTTTAAATAAAATTATATATATATATATATATATATAAGGGTTAAATAACACATTTCCGAATCATATTTCCCACGTTTAAGTTTGCTGTGATTGGTTGTTGAAACAGCCTTGTTCATATTTTCTCACGGCCCATATTAGTGACCTAGACATTGACGTAGATTAATTTCAACCAATTGGCTAACAGGCTGCTCTCACCACACATATATATCATGTGTGCCGTTGAAGCCTGGAAAATCAGCCTGACAGAAAAAACTATAGTGTACAGAAAGCGTAAAGTTATATGTTACATGAACAGTGTTAAAATTTACTGTAGACTTTATTATGTACTCGACGCCAAATTATTGTTATCTACTGGTCGAGAATTTAATAGTCCTGACGCAAGAAAGACGGAAATCAGAAGACCACTAGGTTTGCGATGATACTTCTATTTTCCAAACACAAGGAGAATCCAAGTCACACAAGAGTGTGAGAGCAAAAATATATACGAATGTCCGAACAAGTGTCAACACAAGTGTGTGAGCGAATATCCAAAATGAACAAATCAATAGACAGTCTTAACATGATTGGCTAATTATAATGGAATATCGATCCATATATACCTAGCAAATATAACAGACATGTCAAACAAACACACATATTATATATAATATAAGGGAATATACATTGTTAAAGGAGACAGGTTCATCAAAGTGAAATGGTCACAGACTAAGAGAGCAACAGAAAGCGAGACCACCATATATATATATATATATATATATATATATATATGGATACATATCAGACTTTTAGAGAAATATTAAGCGGGTTCTTATCAGTGTACTATGGCCTTAATGTTCTGTTCTTAATAAAATTATTTCACGAAAAAGAAGCAATCGGAATTTACCTGAATAAGCCAAGCCTATGTGTTCAGTAAAAATTTGTAGAGCCACTTTCCTTACCGTGGCCATCGTTTCAAGAATGTATAAACAGGACTACTTCGCCCCCCTCCCCCTAAGCCTTTAAAAACTATAAAAATTATAATTGTGCAAATTATGTATTTATTTATTTTGACCTCTTCATCCTTAATTAGGTGTTATCCTTATAAAATTAGTTTACTCTAACCATTTCTACCTTTTAAATGTGTATTGATTTTCTTCGTTAATTATCAACCCATTGACATTTTGACACTGACTAATTATTGTTAACAAACTTATCGCCAATTGGTTGGCAAACTGTTGTGTATTGTAATAAAAATGCTACATATATTAGTGTAGAGCTAGAGATGAGGATCTAACTGAAAAGTAAATATTTCTTCGCTCAATCCTTCTGTTTTCTAAAAAGAAAATCAGTATCTTTCACACTTAAAGCATGTAAATTTAAAGAAAAATAAGATGGAACAAACAGGTATCTTCTTTAAAGTGTTACAAAATCTCCGGTTTAATATTCAGTACTTTTTCCAGTTGAAATAGGTCTACATGTAGTAGTGATATGAATTCAAAATGTGATATTTAAAAAGCACAATTTATCCATTTTCAGATAAAAGTTGCTTATCGATTTACTCAACAAAGTGTTAAACCATAAGTGAGTAAATAAACTCACCAGTTAGATATAAAGTAGCGCCTTTCGACAGTAATCTCTTGTTACGAACTCCAATAGTAGAATTGAACTTATACATTCTATTTTAATGGGGTATTAACATAACTGCTAATTGTGGTAACTTTATATCTGTCTAGAGAGTGTATTATATTATTATTGCTCCCTTGGGTTCCTAGTGGAACATAGGGCTTCAACTGCACGTCTCCATTTTCTTCTGTCTTCTGCTGTACTTTTCGCCTGCATCCATGTTAATCCATATTCTTTCAACTCCTCTTCACACGATCTCCTCCATGTCACCCTTGGACGTCCCACACGCCGCTTCCCTTTCGGGTTCCACTCGAGGGCTTGGCGCGCGATGTCACCCAGCGGTCTCCTCAGCGAGTGTCCGATCCATCTCCACTTTCTCCTGCATATTTGTTGGGCGATTGGTTCTTGCTTTGTTTGTTCCCATAATTCCTTGTTGGTGATTCTTTCCGGCCATCTGATCTTCAGTATTGAGCGAAGACAGTTGTTAATAAAGGTCTGCAACCTTTTGGAAATATTCTTTGTGACCCGCCAAGTTTCTGATCCGTATAGAAGAACTGACTTTACGTTTGTATTGAAAATCCGAATTTTGTTGGTGATGCTGAGTGACGAAGATTTCCAGATTGATTTCAGGCTGATGAATGTGTTTCTCGCCTTCCCGATTCTCGATTTGACATCCTCGTCCGCTCCTCCTGTAGTTGAGACAATGCTCCCTAGATAAGTGAATGAAGTAACCTCTTTCAAATCCCTCCCGTTGATGGTGATTGACGTTGGATGTTGTTGCTGTTGTTGGTTGGTTATTTTCATAACCTCCGTCTTGTCTATGTTTACCTGGAGTCCTGTCTTCGTGCTGCTTCTTCGACCAGTTTGTCGGTTTTCGCTTGTAAGTCTTCGATTGTGTGTGACATCAAACATAAGTCATCCGCGAAATCCAGGTCTTCTAGGTTCTTCACGTCGGTCCAGGATATTCCTGTCTTCTCGTTTCCCACAGTCTGACGCATAATCCAGTCCACCACAATTAGGAATATCATTGGTGATAATAAGCACCCTTGTCTGACTCCTGTGTTTACTCCAAACGCCTCGCTGAGTCTTCCGTTGTGGATCACTTGACATGCCGTTGTCGTACAGCTGTTGAATAAGGTTGATGAATATTTGGGGTACGCCATAGTACTCGAGTAATTTCCAAATTACTTCACGATCAACGCTGTCGAAGGCCTTCTCAAAGTCTATAAAGTTGAGGTAGAGGTTTGATTGCCATTCCATGCTTTGTTCTGTGATGATGATGCGTAGAGTTGCAATTTGGTCAGTACATGATTTGCCTTTCCTGAATCCAGCTTGTTCTGGTCGGAGTTCTGTCTCCAGTGCGTCCTTTAATCTCTCCAGGATGATGCGACTCAGGATTTTACTTGGCGTCGATAGGAGCATGATTCCTCGCCAGTTCTTGCAGAGTGAGGCCTAAGTCGCCCTTCTTTGGTAGTTTCACGAGGTAACCTTTCCTCCAGTCAGTAGGCACCTTTCCCTCCTTCCAGACCTTTTGCAATAATGGAGTCAGCATGTCTGCTGTAGTCTCTGGGTCCGCTTTCAGTGCTTCAGGGGGTATTCCATCTGGTCCGGCTGTTTTTCCAGCTTTCAGAAGCTTGATTGCGTTCAAGACTTCAGCTCTCGTTGGAGGATTGGTGTCAACTTGCAGTTGTGTGCGCGCTGTTGTTGGTATTTCTGGACGGGTTGCAGGTGATGGTCGGTTCAAGAGTCCTTTGAAGTGATCCGCCCATTGTTTAATCTGTTTTTCTTCCTTGGTAATTGGGTTCCCTTGGCTGTCTTTTATAGGTTTCGCTTGTGTTGGTCTCTTCCCGGATAGAGATTTGGTTATCTGATATAGTGTCCTCAGGTCCCTTTTGCCTGCTGCCTTCTCAGCTTCAGTGGCCAGGTTGTCGTAGAATCGTCTTTTGTCCTTCCTAGCACTCTTCTTCACTTCTTTGTCCAATGCTTTGTAAGTTGAGCTCAGCGTCTCCTTCTCCTGTCCGTCCTTGCATTGAATCATTTTCTCTTTCACCATTCTCCTCTCTTCTATTAATTTCCAAGTGTCCGTTGAGAGCCATTCCTTGTCTTGTCTCTTCTTTCTTCCTAGAACCGTTGAACACGTTTCGTTGAGAATCGCCTTCAGAGACTTCCAATGTTCTTCCACGCATGATTCTTCAGTGATGTCGCGTAGTGTTTCCTGCTTTGCTCTGACAGTTGCAGTGAAGTGTCTTTTGTGGTTGTGTCCTTCAGTAATTGAGTGTTGAACTTGCATTGTGGCCTATCCCCAGCTATCCTCGAGGCTTTTAGTTTCACCTTGAAAGTCCCTTCTACTAGATAGTGGTCTGAACCCACATCTGCTCCTCTCCTTGACCTTGTGTCCAGTAGGCTCCGTCTCCACTTTCTTGAAATTGAGATGAAGTCTATTTGATTCTTGGTGTTTCCATCTGGTGAAATCCATGTCGTCTTGTGTATATCCTTGTGTTTGAACACACTACCACCAATCACCAAATCATTGAAGGCGCAGAAGTCTGAGAAGAGTTCACCATTGTCGTTCATTTCACCGAGGGCCTCACGACCCATGGTGAGTTCTCTTCCTGTGTTGTCTCGTCCCAGCTTCGCATTCATGTCGCCCATCAGGATTTTGATATCGCCATTTGGGACGTTGTCCATTATTGCTTGTAGTTGTCTGTAGAACGCCTCCTTCTTCTCTTGTTCTGAGACGTTTGTAGGCGCATAACATTGAATGACTGTAACTTTCCTTCCTTTTGAGTTGAACCTGGCTGTCATTATCCTGGAGGAGATTGGTTCCCACTGCATGAGAGCTTTGGTTGCTGTTGGTGACATCATGATGGCCACTCCCTCGGTGTGCTCATGGTTGTCCTCTTGGTGGCCGGAATAGATTACTGTCTCTCCAGTAGGTAGTTGGCACCTTCCAGTTCCGTTCCATCTGCTCTCGCAGATTCCCAACACTTCTATTCTGTACCTTCTCATTTCAGCGGCTATCTGGGCAGCCTTTCCAGTTTCGTACATTGTACGAACATTCCAGGTACCCATCCTTACTTTTGCTTTCATCGAAAGAAGAGAGAGTGTAGTGCACCTTGAATATTTGAAATTTTGTTTTAACGCATTCACATATTGTGGCGCCACATTACTGTTCTTCCGGCGTGACTGCTTG